ACACACACACACACACACACACACACACACACACACACACACACACATGCGGGGCGACCGCGGCTCACTGGCTTAAGAGGGTTGTCTGGTAACCGCAGGGTCAACGGTTTGATCCTCGACTGGGATGTGTCACGTGTCATAGTGTCCCTGAGCAAGACACTGAACCCCTGGCTCCCCAGGCGCCTATCATTGGCAGCCCACTGCTCCCTATATACAGGGATGGGTCAAATGCAGAAGTCAAATTTCATGTATATGTATATGACAATAAAAAGGGTTTCTATTTTTTTTAGTATGGCTCAGCAAGCAAACACAGTCCATAGAAGTTGATTTAAATAACAGAGACTATTGAAGAATCATATTCGCCTCAACTGAACTTTGGATTTAGTTGTACCTTTCAGATTCACACTGACCTTCTAGCTGTCTGCAAATTATGGTCACACTCAGACATACAATTTTGTTTTTTACACTGGGACACAAACTCAAAAAAAATCAGCTCAGCACCAACTGCAGCGGCAAGGGCCGCTACACACACACACACACACACACACACACACACACACACACACACACACACACACACACAAACACGTGCGGATGTTTCTTACCCAAAAGGCCTCCCAGCAGGTAGACTGAGGTGGACAGTTGGGCCATACTCTTGAGCTTCAGTCCTTGACTCCACAGTGCTTTACCTCATCACAGTGTGTAAACACACACACAGGGCGGACACACACACACAACACTGATATCTGCAACTCTTCAGTGTGTATGTTCGGTGGGACACACATGAGTTATTGTGTTACCAGGTCGTCATTGCACTGTTGAGCGTCTCTGGAACATTCCAGCAGAGACAAATCCTGGATTTTAAGGCTCTTGTACTTCGGTCTCCCTGTTGCTGAGAGTCTGAAAACAAGAAACAAAAACCAGTCAGGGAGCCAGATAAGGAAATAAGCAAACAGTGAAACAAAAAAAAATGGCAGTCAATTCCACTGATGAGTTCAAGCCTGTAAAGTCTTGAAATAAAATGTCGACATATTTTGATATCATAGAATGCTTTAAACTTTTTTTCTTCATGCACATATCAGGATATACATATATATACACATCAATTGATGCTTCAATTTCCCTCAACACATTGATTTCCCCACCCACAACCGCGGTCTAATCTTGGACCTGGTCTGTTCCACTGGAATCCCCATCAACCACCTCACCGTCTCCGACCACCTAGCCATCATCATGGAGATCGACATCCCAGAACCCAAACACATGCGCATCATCACTCTCCATAATATCAAGTCCATCAGCCCCTCATCCCTGTCAGCCTTTCTCACTGACAAATTCTCCACTCACACCCCCTCCTTTAGCCCCTCCCCCACAGACCTGGTCAACATAACACACTATCCTCCTGCCTTGATCAGCTTGCTCCTCTCAAAACCAGAACTGTCTCTTTCACCCACACTGCTCCCTGGTTCACCCCTGAACTCCGCCTCATGAAATCCCAGAAACGGCCGCTTAAGCGACTCTCCAACAAAACCGGCCTCACAGTTCACACCCTGGCTTACAAGGAATACATACAGCAATACAAACTGGCTCTCAATACTGCACGCTCCACCTACTACTCTGGCATCATCCACTCAAATTCCGCCAACCCCAAGGTCCTCTTCTCCACAATAAATAATCTTCTCAAACCTATAATCTCTCCCACTCCTCCACAGCTGAGACATGTAACTCCTTCCTGTCATTCTACAAAGCAAAAATTGAGACCGTCTACAACCAACTGGCCACTTCCAGCCCCGCCCTGTCCCAACCCTGTATCTGTAAATCCCCCACTAACTGACCGGTCACTCTCCCAACTCTCTCTAATCTCCCCCTCAGATCTCAATAAATCACTGTTGGGCATGAGGACTCCAACCTGCGACCTGGAACCCATCCATCCACTTTAGTCATTGCCACCCATTCTCAAAAAGCCTGGCCTGGACCCTGACATCCCCAACAACTACAGACCCATCTCCAATCTCCCTTTTCTGTTTAAAATACTGGAACACACTGTTGTGTTCCAGCCCACCAACTCAAAACCCACCTGGACTCAAACCAACTGTATGAACTATTTCAATCTGGGTTCAGATGTCATCACAGCACAGAAACCGGCCTCCTTCTCTCCTCAGATGACCACTCCCTTATCATCCTAATACTACTTGACCTCAGTGCAGACTTTGACACCTCAACCACTCCACCCTGCTCTCCCGTCTTGAGTCCTCCATCCACATTACTGGCACAGCCTTCTTCTGGTTCAAATCATACCTCTCCGACCGTGGACAGTTCATTAGTATCAATAAATTCAAGTCTGACACAGCCCCAGTCTCTCAAGGTGTCCACCAAAGTTCGATACTCGGTCCCCTCCACTTCATTCTCTACTTGCTCCCCCTTGGCAACAATGACATGTCATTCCTTCCCTCTCTGTCTCCCTCCATCTTTTATTCCTGTTTATCTGCCTCTAAATATTTACCTTCCTCCTCATCTCTCTCTTTCTCGCCCTCTTCATCTAGCTTTTGCAAGCTCATTTCAGCGCTCAACAAACTGCGCATGGCACCCAAGTCAGTAGTCGGCAGACAGACTCGATGACTTGGTTGGTTGAATGTGCCACCGGTGGTGAAGTCATGGTGTGGCAGGCAGCCAAGATCCAGAGATTAACAAATGACCGAAACCAACCGTTGGTTTCACAGCCAGCCAAAATGGAAGTGTGTACATTGTCATTACAAGATGTGCAGTCTCCTCATGACACAGAAGAGGAGGCTACAGATTTTTTTCATTCAAAGGAGCAGTGTCGGGTAGGATTTAATGGCATAGTGTTGATGTTGCACACCAATCCGTTTCCAAGCGTGTCGGAGAACTACGGTGGCCTTCAGGTATAATGTAAAAACCTGAAAAGGCTCTCACTAGAGTCAGTGTTTGGTTTGTCTGTTCTGGGTTACTGTAGAAACATGGCGGTGTAACATGGCGAACTCGGTGAGGAGGAACCGCTCCATATGTAGATATAAAAATCTCATTCTAAGGTAACGAAAGCACGATTCTTAGTTTCAGGTGATTATTATTACCTTGACCTTAGCCATCAGCACTGCATGTCTAAACTTTATCTTAATTCTAAACCTGACCTTGAAACCAAGCATTCCTAGCCCTCAAACAGCCCTGGGTCAAAAAAAAAAGAGCATCATCACTGAGATCCAAACCTCAAACTGGTCCTCACCAGTGTATGAGTGAGCTATAGGAGCACACAAGGATTAATTGCACTGACACAAAGCGGTTTTCCTCTTATTTCTTCTTGACCTTTTCTGTTGCCTGAAGCCAAATATTGAACAGATCTGGGCCTGTATATGAGTCACATATAGGCAGCACACTGTAACAAATTGCTGGAAAAGACGGGAAATTGTAGACGGTAATGTACTGTTCTTCATGAATACAGTTGAATACAGTTAAGTATACCAAATGCCGATGCCTTGGAAGAAAAAAATATATATGAACACCAAACTGTCCAAACTTGCAGTATACTACAGTATTTTTTTTTCTTTTGACTCTGAGTCCGCACATAACTCATCTGAGTAAAATCATGTTGCATCATGTCCCACTACTTTATTAGGCACACAGTCAACAAAGAAATTCAAAAATAGGCTTTAAATATCAAGGATCTGTCATTATATTCAAAATAAAAGGTGGAATAAGAGGAAGAGGAAGAATTGGAGAAGACAATTTTCACCCGACTAACCCTGCCTGCACCGAAGTGGACAGAGCACCACCTGCTGTTCTCCTCCTCGCCTACAAACTGCTCCTGTGGTGTACTTAACAGGGTAATTTGAATGTTATCAAAGTCAGCGTTACCCTGTTATATGTTGTATTGACGGATTGTTTTGCCGACAACGATACTTAGTGTTCACCGCACGTTGCTAGCATGCATGCAAACGCTTTCAGCTAACTTTAGCTAGCATACCGTACTGTCCTTTAGCTGCTGAGTGGATACAATTTTATATTGTTATCTTTCTGTAGAACCATGTTACCAACAAAGTTAAGTTAGCTGACGTTAGCTTGGTCATTTGCATTTAACATAAAGGCTGCGTTAACTTAGGCTATATCATTTGCTGTGTTAATTTAATTTAGATTTAATTAATGTCAAATTAAAGGTCCGGGGTATGATGTGATACCATATTGATTTGTAAAATCTACGTAAGTTAAGTGCCTAGGCTGTACTTTGCCATTTATAGTGGGACTAATGTTCTTTCAAGTAAACCAATTTGTAGGATGTGTCGTGTTGCTTTTCTCCCCACATAGGGAGGGGAAGGTTGCTCATTATACAAGCTGTTGAAAATAAGAGCTAATGATGGCCCACTTCGATGAAAGAACTGATTTTTGTATCAGTCCCTCAGTTTTGTTTTTTTGTGTTTTTTGTCTCCTATCACTATACACACAATTTCATTTTTAATTTTGATAATATTTTCTATGTTCTGCAGGTCGACGTTGAGCGCACCGTGACCCTCCCAGCCGGTACATGACTGATACTGCTGGGTTGGTGTCACATAAGCAAGGTGTGGAGTTAAGAACATACAGTGCCTTGCATAAGTATTCACCCCCCTTGGACTTTTCTACATTTTGTCATGGTATAACCACAGATTCAAATTTATTTAATTGGGATTTTATGTAATGGACCAACACAAAATAGTCCATCATTTGGAAGTGGGGGGAAATATTACATGGATTTCAAAATTATTT